ATGCATAACGCTAAAGATACTGTGGTCAGTGCAGTAACGTTGTTTCGGCCAGTGTCTCATAGGCTTTCTTCAAGGTAGGTTGGTACTGAAGGGTCATGAATGTGGTTAGTTTCCCATAGCCGCCGATTGTTTTGGAGTCAGAAGGCTAACTTTCAGTCCGTTCTGCTGGTTAGAAACGTCAACTCTGAGAGAGGATACGAACTCTGTGCGGGTTGAATCAGTATCAGTGTCTTATTCGCCAAGAAACTCTATAAGTGTTTCTTTGTTTGAAGACCGTAAATGTAACTGAAAATCTGGCAGCAGTTTTCAAAATAAGATGCGATGCAAAGCAGTTTTAAACATTGAGCTAACAAATCACGAGGTCGCATTTTGGATGATCGACTTTGTAAAGAGAGGTAAATTGTGTTGCAAATTAAAATTGTTATATAGTTAAGCAATAGGAATGGGAATGACTTAGGAAAATTTCCCACGAAATGCATGCAGATAGAAAACTGAAAAATGTATACAAGCGATGTATTCATATAAAGCGCAAATAAGAAGGTCGATCAGTTGAGTTATTCATCTGTAACGACGCTCCGGCTGGTTTCTTGCAAGCTTTGTTAATGGCAGTCCGCCTTGACTTCTGTAGTTAGATGTGGGGTCTACGACCTCTTGTGACGTCTGGAGTCAAAGGTGTGTTTCTGGTGCATGCTGCTGGCTTTTTCAGTCAGAGGTTTGTTCATTTCGCTCACAATTCGTGTTTCCCTTGATCCGGATGACATTTTCGCAGGATTGGACAATTGAGGCTTCTTTGAATCGTTGGCTCAGCCAGTATTTTTTCAACGATACTCTGCAGTTTTTCCATTTAGCGTTTCTCGTTACGTACTACACAATCTTCGGAATTTTTTCACGTTCTTATTTGACCTTGGAATAAGGAGGGTCCATGATGAACCGAAACATCGAGATTAGCCAATCACTCAATGTTATTTGTTTGTATTGTGTAGAAATAAACCATTTTATGCATTTTTCAGGATGCACACCAATACACGACCAAATCATTCAATTTTGGAATTATTCAGGTAGAAATGTAATATAGGATTGATTGACAAGTGTAAACACGGAGCACGATATATTACATCTTCACAAACCCCAGTTTATGAACCACCTATGCCAAAGGAAAGGTTTTGTCGGATTTCCCTCGTTTAAGGGAAGTCTTATTTGTACGCTTAGTGACTTCATCAAAGTTAAAAGTTATAAGAAATCTTTCGTGTATACCGATAAGTGCAGTTATTTCGCGATTCCGTTTTAGCAACGTTTTTGACTAAAACTGCTTATTCATGCATGCTTCACCACTTCTCCTCGATTAGGTAAAACACTGACTGAGATGTCTTTAGTAGAAAGTTTGTTGTAGCCAACTTAATTTCAGACTGCGACCATTTTAATCATAATTTTTATCTTGTGACTTAGCATAAACTTCTAACACACTGGAAACAGCAGTAGCAAGCATTCAACGAAAAGTCATTACATTCTCCACAAAGTATTTACTCTAGATAAATCAGGAGTTGCCGCCTGGATCGTACGTTCGTAACTGTCAAACACTGTGATGTTTCGAAAACACTTTGGTAGATATCAGTCTCGATTTGTTCCATCAAGTAATAGTTTCATCATGTGATTCCCCTTCAGGTTGATTAAAGGACGAAAATCATGACTTTAGCTGCAATGAATGATCCATTGTCGGCAACTTCAAAACGCCACTGGAAATCAGTTTCTGATTGGAATCACTGCGAACCTTGACTCGGATAGTTTCTTCAGTTTCCGTTTTCCACGCTTTATGCTCCAAATCATCAATGAAGCCAATGCACACGTTCATCAGCCCCGACTAAAATCGACAGGTCACTATGAAATGACATTTAAAACAATAACAAGCCTACCTTCGTAAATTCTAGAGCAAATTCAGCAACGAAGTAATCATTCTGAACATCTACAGTCTTCGATATGCCTCTGGTTATGCCATTGGAGGTTTGCTAAAAATATTCAATGAACGGCTCTAGCATTGAACTGTGAATACATACAGCGCATAAAAAATAGTTAATTTTAATCAGGATATAAAATAAAACTATCAGAGATGAGAGCATAGTAATATGGAGGACAGTCTGCAGTTACAATTTTCTGAACATGTGCGCAAAATGCCAGTGGAGAGTTTCTCAAAACGAAATTTGCTGGTTTCTGCTCTGAAATGTAATAAAATAATTTTAATGATTAGCATGAAGGTTAATAAACGTCAACTCATAACTTCGATAAACGTTTAACGAACGTTGTAATTTCAGATACATACCCTAACACTGGAACCATGTCAATATTTGACTGCCCTGGTACAAATATTGTCAGCAACATGAAAATTAAACTGATATTCATGCGAAAAAAAACTATATTACCACAATGCTCTAATGTGAAAAAACAGGTCATGTTTCCCATACTTTGATTATGTTTAGGATGAAGAAGGCAAATTTAAGATTTGCCAAAATATAAAGAAGAGATCAAATCGTAGCAGGTCAAATGCCACTAAGTTCAGACTTGCCAAATCTTTGATACGTCTCTAACAAATAACATATATGAAATTTAGATCATCAAGGATAAAAGTATCTGTTAAAAGATATGAAACATGGCCCACCAAACAACTCTTAAAAATTTGTTTAAGGGCATTAAATTCACCTTCTATTCTAATTACCCTAAGGAGAGAGGATGTTCTAACAAAATAATACTACCTATTCTCTGGACTAGTGATGACATTATCTCATACAGAGAAAATGTTATTCTCAAAGTAGCTAATTACCCTGATCATAAAATCGGCCTTATCAGATTCAGGCATAATTGTAACAACGACTTTGGAAACTCTTCGAGGGAAAGAATTTAGCCATTCTCGCGTGGTCACAATACCCTCCACTTTTGCGATTAGCTTCTGGTTGCTGCAGACCGTAATCTGGCGTTCTGATTCAGAAGGTGCAGGCGAAATGAGCAACTAAACGACAAAATGAAGATGAAGTCAAGAAAGAAAAAAGAAACGTGATGAAATCATCTACCTTCACAGTCGTATGCTGAACTTTCCTGAAAAAGAAACAAGGGAAAAACAGAGGGACCTTCGCCATTTCGATTACGATCAGATTCAAATTTTCTAAGAGCTGAAAGAAAAATCGATCACGTTAACATACTAAAAACACATATTACTAACTTGTCTCGGTGAGGGTTCCTCTGAGGATGGAAAAGCACTAAACTTCTTGAGAGCACTATCCAAACTCTCGGCTAATATTCTGTTACAGGTACTCGTCGAAGGCACAAGAGGTTCGCACAAGTCTTGACTGAAAACAAGGCAGTTACCGATACAAGTTCTTTGAACTATATGACAGCAATGAACTACTCTTACATTTTGATGTGTACCTACAAAGCAATGTAAAAACCTCAATAACTCAGCAAAAATTGAACGTAAGACATGAATATGTAACAAAAGCGACGTTACAATGCTCATTAGCTCTCGCACGATTTCTTCACTGTACTTTCGTTTATCATAGAAGAGAACATTTCAATAACAGAAACCGATGAATGAAGTAGTTTTTGAGTATCTACTCAGACAGCTACTTAGAATGATGTCGATTGCAACTACATAGCTGACTTCAATTCGGCTCTGCCATACAAACTGTTAACACGAAATCTGACTAGTAGAAGCTGCATCTCCCAATAGAGCCCACGTATTTATGGCTGGAACGTCGAGCGTTGAATGGCGATGGAGCAAACTAATTGTCGTTATCTGAACCGCAGAGCAATACATGATGAACATTTTGGATCCTCAGAGACCATATTTCCAGGCCAAGAGCATCAGAGTCTTGAAGACTGGATAACAATTATATTAAAGGATGATTGGTTAGATTTAATGAAACGATCCCTAATGTAAATTTATTAAAAACGCTTCAATTTATTTCTCGTTTAAGCACCATGCTTTGGCAGCATACGCAATGAATACAAACCTGAAAACACAGCGTTTAATGCAAGTATGAAGGCTATGAAAAATATGACATGTGCCGCAACAGTAAACGTTGCTTAGCATTAATCTGAAGTACTATGTCTAAGGATCATAAAAAGACCGGTTATTCTGCTGTTTAACCTCTGCTAATCGTTAATGACAGTGAAAAAATTCTCAAGATTCTTCCGTGCAAAAAACCAAACAGGCTTACGGTATTTACCAGGCTTCTTTAGATGAAGATATTTCAAAAGCTTGAGAGAGTACAAAACATTCCTTCTGCAACAAAGCCAGCAAATGCAGCGTCTGCGAATCGCTGTCGAAGCAGCGCGAAGCCAGCTGCTCATATGCGTTTGAGAGAAGACAGAAGTCGGTACAACTTTTGGAAAACTAAAATGGCAAAATAACCTTTGATTTATTCAACGTTCATTCATATGTTAATTCCAATTTTAAAATTCATAATCTAACATTCATTCTTAACAGGATGCACAGCGTTTAAATAAACCATAGTCCATGAATTGTGCATCGCGAACTAGGAGATGGAAGAATACTTATTTCTGGAAATTATATGTTCAGCAGTCAGAAAAGTTTTACAAACAACCTTAAAAACTCATTTATTTATATATTTAAAAAGAAGATAGAGATTTGAATGGCCCATTTATCAGTACTTTAGAGATGATAAGTTTACATACAGCGCATCCCATGAAAAATGACATGATTTTTTCCATTCCAAACTAACCAGATTAGCATAAATAGCCATGATGGACGAAACCGAGGAAGCTTTTGGAGGCGGACACATTCGTACGTGGCTAATGGCGTCGATGAAGGTGGTCATGGATTTCAAAAATTCCACCCTTAATTTACAAAATGTGACTACAAACCAACGGTTGACAGACGGGTTGACTGCAGCCTGAAAATTTGCAAAAACGATAAGCATTCATCGACGCAACGAAAGCATTATTCATACCTTCAGTTCAAAAGTGCATTCGCGATACAATGCAAGTGCCTTCTGAACGTCTGCGTAGTAGGCGACGAGAGAATTCGATCGAGAAGCAAGCAGGTGTTCAGCTGCCGAGATCTTCAGCAAAGCAGAGATCCACCAACTGAAACGGTCATTGAAGATCTGAAAACGAACTCTGTGCTCTTGAAAAACGTCTAGAATCTTCCCGAAAATAGATCGCGCAGAAAACAAATTTGTTAATCAAATATGGTCAGCAATACATCAAACGGAACATACCTCACTCGCACGAAACGATTGGGAGAAAACTGCCTATACTTAACCTACAAGAGGACATTAAAAAATCTATTTTATTATACAGTGCACTCCCTGCATAGAAGATGATTACTGGTTTGTCAAATGCCGCTCGTGACACACATGGTATTGCTGCGGTAGATAAGATGCATTTCTCACTGAGACCATGACCATGACGTGTGACATATTTCTCACTGAGGTGCTCCAATACTATGCAATGGTGACTAGCTCAAATGATCCCTCACTCCAGACAACTTGGAGCAGAGGCGACGCAGGATAAGATGAAATCTGGTTCCAAAGTAGCAATTCAATTCAAACTATGATTCAATACGTCGCAGATACGTCTGGCCATTTAACGGTCTGGCAAGTTTATCAATACAAACAGCCTCTTCCCGCTCATCTTATAACAAGACCTACATAACCTTGCCATACGTTCGCCAATAGTGTGAAAAGCAACGTGGTAGATGAGCGGTCGGACTCAACCTGGTATTCAAACCTGGTGCAACGCTATGTAGCCGCCTAAGCCACCTCAAGACCAAGAAGTTTGAAGAGCGGAATGCCGGTTGCATGTACCAATTCCCTTGCTCCTGCGGTTCAGTTTATATAGGCAAAACAGGTAACATGGCTAAAGAAAGGAAGACAAACCATAAGAGGAATCTGATCAGGTGGAAGAACGCAGTTGCCAGAAAAAAGGCCTTCAGTAAATCGGCAGAAGACGGAAACAGATGAAAAACCTAAACTTATCAAAGTAGAATGCGAAAAATATTCCGCCATCATAGAATATACTGTAACCGATCAGCATAACATATTTTGGGACAAAATGAAAGATGTCACACGAGAATAACAATATCTCCTCCGTAGAGTGAAGGAACCGTTACTGATCTATGCAACCAACTGCATCAATCGTGACATCGGCGACACATAAACCATAAACATCAAGCGGTCGAACGATCAGTAACAACGCGGCACCATTAATCATACGGGTCAACCCGACCTGCATGGAAACATGTGCCATACTGATTGTAACACAGGAGACAGACCCAGCTTAGTCCATAACATCAGTTCGCTTCATAAATAAAAGAATATTTTAAGCGTGGTTCTCCTGTCTGTGATATACCAAAGCATTATACTGTTATATTGTTATATATTACGAATGAATGGTTCCGTAAAGAATCATCGTACCTTATTTTTAAGCATCCTAAATGCATTCTCGGCGATTGAAAAATAGCCACACTGAAGACAATGACGGCCAACCTGGTAAAGCTGCCAACAGTTCTCGACATGACGGACGATGGTAGAAAATTCTGGATCATTATCGTGCTTCGTTGGTGGCAGCAGTAGAAAACACAACGCAGGCGAAAAACGACGTATTGTGAATCTTCCTGTGCTCAAGGCGTTACAAGTTAGGGTAAGCACGGGCGGCTGCTGATCAGACAGAGTCAGTAGTGATGGAAGGACCGCGTCTTGCAAATCTGAATAAAACAGTTATTACCATTCACCGATACAAGGTGTTCTCTTCTTCAAACCTTCATGCTGTTCAATCATTGAAAGCATCATTTCGGCGCAAAATGTGCTCCTCTTTGGAGTTAGTCGACCGTATCGTAGGAGACAAGCAGCGAAAGACTAGAAAAAGCCAAAACGTCAGTTCTGCATGAAAATGTCAAGTTTTTCGGCGTAGTGGCACAATGGCAAAGAGGACGAATTTGAACTTGGTTCGAATTAACTGAAGGGACAATCTTTGCCTTACCGAATTCTCTTGAGCAAGGAATTATAATCGCATTGTTTCTGTGCAAGCAGCTAAAAACGGGTAGTAAGTCGGTGACCTACAAAAATATGGGCAGCATGACATCTTTGTTTGGTCATGCCAGAATGGGCATGCTGCCTGGCCATGTGATCCGATTTCAGCACCTCCTGTGACCGCATTTCACCTCGATACATCCAATAGCTGAACATCCAGTGTAATAATCAGCACAAGGTGTAACTCTGATTTCGACGCAAAAATTAACACATAAACACAACTTTATATAACAAGTAAGCTTTTTATTATAAATGGCGAGCCGTCTCAAATGAGGTAAAAAATTTAACGGCAGACCAATATTTTGAAAGTGCTACCATTCTGTTGTTCTTACGTTAAGTAAGAAATATTTATTTTAAAATCACCTTCGCGAAAGCTATCCTTTGTCCATCATCAGCGGCGATATTCGAAAGCTCCAAAACCCCCAATGGCATACAGCAAACTAAATTGCTGCTGAATACTTCGAAAGTGGATGAATCTTCTAAAACAAACTGAATTTTTTCACAGAGTAACGGACATAAAACAAAAACAGAATCTGGCCTTACCTAAGTACTCAATTAAATTTAGGTAAATTTTGAGCACGGTGAGAAACAACCGAGTGCAATTAGAATTTAGCAAGTGGGTACACAGTATCATCAGCTTGGAGTCTGAAATCAAAGGTTTCCACAAATAAATCGCCATAACTAAACAATTCATAACCAAACCTATGGTAATTTCCCAAATATTCACCCACTGGCCGTGGGAAAGTCGATCAATGATTGCTGCAGCATCCAGAAGCAAGTCATGTGACTGCAATTTCAGCGATATGTCGCAGAAAGCCTAAACAGGCACAAAAGTACGAATACACCAGATCCTTAACTTCCAGCTGAACTAACGTCCAAGTCGGCTTTGCTCCAAAATTGAGGACTTTTGGTAGCGATAACATTCAGACAGCAAAGTACATTCTTCTTGACTCTATTTGTACTTTTAGAATCGATAATGGACAAAAGTATCTTCATCTAGAATAACTTGTCACGAAAATTAATAAAATCCATTATATCACCTGTTTGGGAATGAATGCGAAACAATTTACTACAAATTCGGTCATTGTTCTTAGCAAAATTCGGAAGACCATAGAATTTTCAGCATTTGGCAGTAAATACGTTGTGTAAAAACTAAATTTGAAAGAAAGATCTGAATATACATTTCGACAGAGGTAAGACATTAAAGCAGCGCATTAAGGTTAATCGACTGGATATCAGAAATAATCTAAGCCGCTATGGAGAAAATAAAGGAATGAAAGGCTAGCAATGAAACGAAGCAAATATGTCTGATAATAATTAAATAGTGTGATTATTCAGTCTCAACGAAGGCAACTAAAATAAGCAAGAAACGGTCTCATTGCTACAAAGTGTCAAGTATCTTGATCTAGGCAATAACCACTATCTGAAATAAACTTACAACGGTGCGTAACGAATCTCCCTCGACACCTACTCAGGATGTTGAAATTCAGAAATACCGTTTTGAAGCAAGAAGGTTAAGTTCATTTCTTTACGCTTGGCTGCCTGTGGCAGCATAGTCAACTATGCCTGTCCAGTAAATTCAAGTCCTACTTGTTCTTTTCTAAAGCAATTATCTCGCAAGATATTCAAGCCTGTTGCTTGTAGAAAGCAGATAGTGTACAGGGAATGTTCCTGCATCACGACAAACTCAATTTATGATTGGGAAGGAAGACAGATCCCTGTAATCGCCTGTTCCCTATTCTTTATATAAAACGTACGAACAATTGCAATCCTTTGTATATCGCTATCCGATATGAACTGAAACTGACCTCTCGTTCCATCCTTGCAATTTTACTGGATAAGCCTAGCCCTAAGATTATGCCTCAGCAATACTGCCTGCATATTTAAGTTTAAGTCGCTGATATGATGTTGGCTGAGACTTAGTAAGTAATGTGGTAAACATCATACATTACTAGAATGGACTCAAAAGCAAATTAGTTCCAGTATGAACTGTAACGTATACATAAAATGAAACTATAATATGAACATACAACTTCCATCTAATTAAATTATAAACAGAATGAAATGAATTAGCATCAATAGCAATAACAGTGAACGGATTTTGGTGTTCTTCGCCCCGATTGATCCAAGGTCCCCTGCTAATGCTACTGAACAGATCACATTTCGCTTTTAAAATACCTCCAGAATAATTACATAACAAAGGCGCAACGTGAAAGATCGCTTTTTATGGAGGTGGGAAGTGCCGAGAAGTCAATGCTTGAATGCTAAGCGAAGTCACTGTGCGAACAATTAGAGAAGCAACATGAAATAGATAACAGAAAAAAGCCAACGAAATTCAGAATATTACACTGAAGAGTAAGAATAAGAGCACAGACTGGAGTCGATGGTGTCACTGCACGAGTGCAGAGGTAGAAACGGCAATGGGAAAGACCATGTTGCAAGAATAATCGAACAGAAGCTGGACCAAAGAAACATTAGATTGGCTTTCATGAAATAGTAAACGACCGGTAGGAAGACCTCCAGATCGATGGGGGGATGAGGTGAAGAAGTTCACTGGACAGACATGGAAGAAAATTGAAGAAAACAGGAGATTAAAGCGAACCCGTGGAGAGGTGCTCACTTAGCAGAAGCAGATGATGGTTGAATAGCAATGAAAATATGCGTAACTTGGAAGGCACTTTTAAAATATAAAATATTCCCATGCAGGTTAGTGACATTTTTCAGATTTGAGAATTTGCTGCTCACTCGAAAATTTCCTGTCCAGTTTCCATACCCGCGTACATGTAGCGGAATATCGGCATGAGTTTAACTTTGTTTTCTAAAAGGAAATTGGAGCACTTCATTTTTTCGATCACCTTGTCAAAAATTTCTCTCGAAAATGTTCTATAAACTGCATAAGTTTTAAAAACATATTACAGACATCATTTTATAATGATATACTTGCAGTGCATGGAAAAACGCTTGATAGCATATATCGCGGCATCCAACTCTTCTACGTTCCGAGAATCGAGACTTTTCAATATGAGGTACAAGGCCGGTTTATTGTCGTAGAGAATCATTGAAAGAGCACCAAACAGCCTAAATGTAGTGAAAAAATAATAAGACCTATAGGACTATCAAATGGTAATCAAACACTATTACGTGAATATAAATGCCGCAGTTAAGATGACAAGTCAAACATATTGACTACAAACCTCTTCTTTGTGATTCGCCCCCCCCCCCCCCCA